CTCGGGGCCGAGGAGTGCGGATACCTCGGCCCCGATCCGCAGCTTCCCAGAGCGGCCCCGTGCCGCCCATCTGCTTCCCCCCTTAGACAAGTGAAAGGGATCTAGGAGTCCTAGTAGAACACAAGTTGAACATGAGTCAACAGTGTGATGCCGCAGCTAAAAAGGCCAATGCGATTTTAGGCTGCATCAATCGAAGTATAGCATCTAGATCAAGGGAAGTACTAGTGCCACTCTATTCTGCTTTGGTCAGGCCCCACCTGGAACAATCCTGTGTCCAGTTCTGGGCACCACAATTCAAAAAGGATGTGGAGAAACTGGAGCGTGTCCAAAGGAGGGCAACTAAAATGGTGAAGGGTCTGGAAACCATGAATCCCTTTCAGGAACGACTTAGGGAGCTGGGGATGTTTAGCCTGGAGAAACGACAATTAAGAGGGGATATGATAGCCCTGTTTAAGTATTCGAAGGGATGTCATATTGAGGATGGAACAAGCTTGTTTTCTACTAGGACATGGAACAGTGGATGCAAGCTGCAGGAAAAGAGATTCCAGCTCAACATTAGGAAGACCTTCCTGAGGGTAAGAGCTGTTCGACAGTGGAAGACACTCTCTCAAAGGGCAATAGAGTCTCCTTCTTTGGAGGTTTTTAAACAGAGGCTAGATGGCCATCTGTCGGGGATGCTTTGATTGAGAGTTCCTGCATGGCAGAATGGGGCTGGACTGGATGGCCCTTGGGGTCTCTTCTAACTCTATGATTCTGTGATTCTAAGACCACAGCCAAAGTGGTGTAGTGGTTTGAGCATTGGACTATGGCTCTGAAGACCAGGGTTCGATTCCCCGTTTGAGCCTAAAAACCCACTAAGTGATCCTGGGCAAGTCATATAGTCTCATCCTCAGAGGGGGACAATGGCAAAATCCCCTCTCAAGAAACTTGCCAAGGAAATCCTGTGATACGTTCTCCTTAGGGTTGCCATAAGTCCAAAACGACTTGGAGGCACACAACAATAACAAAAGTAGTCCAGATAAGGTTGCAACCTCAGGGGTCCATCGTGGGATGCATCACGCAAAGAGAAAGAGAGAGAGATGTCACCCCTTAACCCTCTCTTCTCCAGGCGAAACATACCCAGCTCCCTAAGCCGCTCCTCAAAGGGCTTGGTGGTCTCCAGACCCTTCAGCATTTTGTCTCCTCTTCCTCACCTTTGTCAGGGAATGGCCAGCTTCGGAGGGAAGTGGTCTTGGTGGTCTCCAGACCTTCCCCCCTTTTGGTCACCCTCCTCTGGTCACTCATCCTTTGTGATCACAGATGTCTTCCAAAGAGGCTTTCCTCTTGGCTCCAAGATGGTCTGAGATCTGCTTGGAAGACCACCAGAAGCAAAGCCTTTAGTGTCCCACACTTGTGCCTCGGACATTGTTCTCAGACCATTCTCCAGACTTCGTTTTAGACAAGTATTCCCTGATTGATAAGTGGCACTTACAGTGTCACTAATACATCTGGGTTTTTTTTATTTATTACTCATTTATTTATTCGGTATCTCGGCTGTGCAGCAGTTCATAAGTGACACACAGTGACTGTGTCTGCACTGCAGAATTAATACAACCACTTTAACTGCCATGGCTGAATGCTATGGGATTCTGGGATCTGTAGTTTTGTGAGATATTTAGCCTTCTCTGCCAGGCAGCTCTGGTGCCATAGCAAACTACAAATCCCAGGATTCTGTGGCAGTTAAAGTGGTGTAAATTGCATTAATTAAAGTCAAAGTGGTGTCCAACTGCATTAGTTCTGCAGTGCAGATGCAGCCAGATAGATAGATAGATAGATAGATAGCATGCAGACAAGCAGGCAGGATGGCTGACATTGGCTCTTCCTAATGGAGTCATTGTTTTATGGAGCCTTAAGAAAATATAGAGTCTAAATATTTTGTTAAGACTCCATAAAATAAGAGAAAAACCAACTGAAGATGCTCCCCATCTATTACAACGCTATACTAAGACTGCTGCAAAGTGCATGGGAAAATATGCCTCGCTTCTTCATCTCCTGGCTTGGAAATGTGCTTTGCTTTGTCCCGGGGGATTTGTGTCCTGTACTTTGGAAAAGGCCAAGCTATTTTACTGCAAACCCATTAACAGAGTCTCTTTTTAAGCACTCCCGGTCTGTTGTTTTAAGAGCCTTCAACTCCGCTGAGTTAAGTTCAGCCGGTTATCTCTGAGCCAGGCCCTGGCTGTAATCCTACTATCTTTCTTCCCAACTTCTCTGCATGTCCCCTGCCGCTGAAAAAGTTGCAAAAGCTCTTGGCTAGCATTTTGCACCTGTTGCGGCATCGCTTGTTGCTCCCTCCCTTCCATCGCTTTCCCTTGCGCTAGGTGTCACAGTGTGCTAATCTGCAATAACAGTAGCCTTGTTCGGCTCTCCCATAATGAGGACCCTGGAAAAGGGTCATTTCTCAGCCATATTAGCAATTAAAATAATGAGGGGATGGGGTGGTGGGGAGAAAAGGAGGAGGAGGAGGAGGAGGAGGACCCGGGCAGACGCTTCCCCAGCACCACAACCGCAGTTCCTTGCAAGTGGTGAACTCCGCAAAGGTTACCGCCAATTTGCATTTCACTCTTCAGTAATTTCCCTACTTCAGGGTGCAATTAAATCCGAGGCTGAAGTTACGAGGCTGTCGGTGTGCCGAGAGACCTGAATGCCAACCGGCTCCCGTTCTTTGCAGGCTGCCTGATTTATCCGTGATAAAACCACATCTGCAGCTGTAATGGACCCTGACTCCATTAAAGCCCTGACTTACTTATTTATTTATTTCAAGGCCTGGCCTTCTGAAGAGGGTTGCTGTTGTACTGAAGACCTTGAACCTGGGGAATTACTAAAGTCCAAGTCTTCTATGGGATCTTTTATCCTTTGTTTACGAAGATGGCTAGGGAATAGACAGATAGAAATAAAGCTTTCCAATGAACTGTAATTTATTTAGGGATTCAGACATACAAAGACACTCTAACATATACTCATACACACAAGAACTCAGGAGTAAAGTAGTTAGCTTGCATAAGAAACACAAGGCTTTCTGCTGGTGATAATTATCTGAAGGAGAGGCTGCTCCAACGATGAATGAAGATGGATAGACTCTACCGTTATGAAACGGAAAGGACAATGGACACAGCGCAGTGTCACCATGAAATCTAGCCAGATTTGGGGGAGCATTCATACTCTTAAACCTAGCCTGGAGTGAAGATTGGTTATAGTATATCAAAGGATTCCAGATAGGTTGCCTTTGAAGTAGGCAATTTCCAAGGAGAGGAGATGGGATGTTAATGTTATCTCATCTTCAGCCGGTCTCATCCTGGCTGGCACTCAGAAATCCTCTAGGTGTGAATGTCCTCCTTTGCAGCTCCTAAGCCTGGCCTTTTTGATCTGCAAATGGCTGTAAATGGAGATGTGACCTTTTTAGGTGCCTACATGATGCGCTTGCTTTGAATTCATGGCGATGGGGCTCATGGAATTGGAGGATTCTGGCTGCCAGGAGGAGAAAAAAAGGTTTTCCCTTATTATAACAGAGCATCACAGTTGGATTATAGGGAAAGGAAGTAATTGTTTTATTGTTTATACTGTACTATTTATTCCTTTTGGATGTCATTTTTAATTTTATGTTTGAGTTTTTTATTGGCTCTATTGGATCTGTTGATTGTAATGGATGATGATGATGATGATGATGATTCTGGGGGGAAAGGAAAGGAAGAAGATTCAGGTTTGAATCCTGTGGGTGAGATGAATGCCCCTTTGCAGGCATCATGGAAGGAGGAATCCCACAACCATCTATTCAGACACCCCAAAACCAGCCAGGCTGTGCAAGAGCCCCAACAGTTTGACAGGAAGAGGAACAGCCATCAAGGTTTAGGTAAAAGCAGCTAGACTAAACTCTTCCCTTATCACCCCATATGTGGTTGCAGTAAAGACCTGAAGTGAGAATCGTTCAGACCATTGTATTCCCCATCACCATGTACAGATGTGAGAGCTGAACTGTGAAGAACGCGGGTAAGAAGAAAATCAATGCTCTGGAGAGAAATGTGGCGCTGGAGAAGAGTGCTGAGGATACCTTTGTTGTATTGAATATGTTTTTATGGGTATTGTATATGTTTTTATGCTTGTAAGCTGCCCTGATTGGATTTCCATAGGGCAGGATATAAATAAATTTTATTATTATTATTATTAAAGGCAAGTAAATTAAAAGATATTAAAAGAGCTGGCAAATGTAATCTCAGAGCCACTGGCAATAAT